TGCCCTGGCAAAATTTCTCTCATAGCACTCTGCCGGAGCAGAACCTCAGGACGTTAAACCCCATTTCCTTTCATTTTCATTTCAACCTGGTTCCAATAAGTATACGGTTTTTATATCGCCGAGATAAATCTGTTTGGTAACAATCTGCTGTATTGATACACGTTGTTTAATTATTGTATATATAGATGCTTTAAATAGAGTGTAATCAAAAACTCGGATAATGGCTGTATTTGGATAAAACTAAAACCCAATACTTAGCATCCAGGATATATCTTGAATTCGTCTGGGTTGTGGGTTTGGAGAGGGATGGGTCGTTGCTTGACAGTGGGCATTACTTTATGAAACTCAATGCTTAGCATCCAGGAGATGTGTTCAATTCGTCTGGGTTGTTGGATGTGGGTTGCAGGGGAGGGGTGGGGAGCTTGCTTCAAAATGACAAAGGTCATTACAACCGCTTATTGTTACTTGAGGTATTTTATGAAAGTTGAGTCTATTAAAGAAAAACAGTGTAGACATTGTTCAATATGGCGGTTGGGATGGCTGAGTGATCTAGAGTGTCGCGGTTCGACCTCTAGCTAGCCTGTCACCTATGGCTTGCAATTGTGGTTTGGATCCCCGGTGTGAGCGTAGGGCGCCTTCTCAACCTCGTGGACTTTCCCCTGAGCGTGCGCAAAGATAATAAAAAATGAAAATAAGACAACTTGTCTGCGATATCACCCTCAGTGGAAGCGGACGTTAAACACTAAGATGAACAATTTGATAATATCCGTAACAATATGTTGATCATGTACTATGTTAAATCTGATTTCTATTCAAAATCAATCAGTTCATCATTTCTATTTCTTCTAAACTCTGGGCTAAAAGGAGAAGAACCACACTTGATACCAGCATAACAACCATTTTGTAATAAATTATATTTAAGTACGAAAATAACTGTCTGAAGTAACGAGCTATAACAGATACACGGGCAAATTTCTGCTAACTGATAATTCTTGCGAATACCAAAAGTTGTTACATGAGACTGTGAAAGGATATCTGACAGTTTATAAAAAGAACTGACTGTCACTTGATAAGAGAAAACGAAAAAATAGAAGAAAAGTTCGTGCATTACCATGTTTTTATTAAGTTTAGAATAAATAAGTATAATTAAACATGCATTATGCAAGAGCTAAATCTGCCTATTTCAGGTCTTTCTTTAGGCCTGAAATGTTATCTAAATTATTAATTAGACATTAATTAACCTATCCAGGCCATAATCAACTCTAGATGGCTGTGCTAGCCTGTGATCTTTAGTGGATTGTAAGCCGATTTACTGCATAACTTTCCTTCTCTATTAAACGATTAAATGGACAATCGAGACTATGCTGTTTATCGTATTGACTTTAGTAATGATGATCGAGGCTTATGGGAATTTCAGACGCTTACTTCTCGGTTCATAGTGGATCAATTTGAATGAAATTTTCACCAAATTGCCTTCTACATTATCTAGTTTTTAACTATTATAGTGCGAACTGCCAAATCGTTACCGAATCTCCCATAATGTATCTTTAAGTGAATGTATGGACTATTTCTATTTTTCTCGTGTTCTCTTATCTAGTGACATTCACTTACTTGAATTGTCAGATATCCGCTCACATTTTCATTTAACAACTTTTCCTCTTCAGCGAGACGAAATTCGCCCGTGTATCTGTTATCGCTCGTTACTTCAGTCAGTTATACAGAAGGATAACTCTTGTTTTCCATTGTGTGCGCCAGCTTGTTTTCCATTGTGTGCGCCAGTGTGTGCGCCAGCTTGTTTTCCATTGTGTGCGCCAGTTCAGTTTTATTCAAATCATCTTTACGCCTCTATCGTAGGAATGATCACTGTGTTAAAATTATATTTGGAATATGTTTAACCAGTTCTGTCACATATGTGATAATGGTTGCCACCAATATTTTCCTTTAATATTGCTTTAAATAATACCCCGGTCTTTCCCTACCATAATCCATTTTAGTGGCCCTTTGAGCATTTCCCTGCAGCTTTCGAAATAACTTGGCATAAATATTGTTCGAAAACAAAATTATTTAACTTTTCAAATTTCCATCTCTGGCTTTTCACATGATAAATATATATTTACGCCATATTGTTTTAAACACAGGTGCAAACATTCAAGACGTCGAACACTGTGCCATACAATCAGATTAAAATACAGATCTATATTTCGTTTCGTTTTTTTTAAACTTTCGATGGCCTAAACTACATGAAGATCTGACCGGTTGTAGCGATAGGTCGCATCAGAAGTCATACGAGCGGCTTTTGACCCTATGTTGTCAAACAGCATTGATGTTACTAGTGGATTACCCACAGTTCCGTGCAAAAGACGCCCAAAGCTCGCCGTAACAGAGTGTTTCATTGGCTAAATACTCACACCATTCAGAACACGAGTTAAATAACAACTCTTCCAGATCCAAGTGTAGTAAAGACAAGTAAAACGAAATTTTGAACTATAAAAAACGAAACGAAATAGGATCTGTGTTTTAATCAGTTTGTGTGCCATACGTATCTGGAATGATGTAATAATATGTTTTATTTGATCTGGACATATGATATAATGTAAAATAATTGTCAGGGAGGGAATTCTTGTGAAAATTGTCAATAACAACCAAACCTTCGATTGCTCGTAAAATTGATATAAATGAGTCAGGCAACACCTGCAAGCTACAACCTGTTAAAATAGATATAAGAAACTTAAAGCAAGAGCCAGGTGACTGGCTTTGGTTTGCAAGTGTTATTATTGCGATACCGAACGAGTTAATATCCACCACAGGACGACGTATCCAATTTTACCCAATACTAACCGAATAACGCCAAATGATATTATTGCAATACTTAAACAGGTAATATCCGCAGGATAACTTACCCAACTCTACCCAATACTAACCGAATAACGCCAACATTGTGGGAAAATATGTGCGACAAATTATATTCTATAACAAATAAAAAACAGAGAGAAAATTATCAACATTTTTCTTCTTCTAATACAAGTATGGTATATTTTCTATATTTGCATCTGTAATCAGAGATACTTTATCTGTGAAATACCTGACAGTCTAGTTACCAAAACATTTCAATATATCTCCTTGTGGCCGAGTAAACCCTGGATCGTATATCAGTCGTTTCGTATCTGTTACAATACACGTAAACCACTGCAGACGAGATGAAAATGGCGTCAGTTAAAGTGCTGTTTTGTGTTCTGTTGATATTTTATATAGAAAACGGTGAAACTATTGATATTAATACACTTAAACTGGCCAATGTGGTAAGTGTTGCACTTTTTATAATATATAACCTTTATTTGTTCTTTATTTATCCTTTATTGATAAAGGTCAGAACCATTTAAAATGGCCACACCCGCTTTAATACGGGTCAAAAATAAAATGACCGATTTACTTGGAAATGAAATTGGGTTTAACGTCCTACTGATCTGCTCCGATTGGGTTAATGAAGACGGGCATATGCCATACAGCGTGCTAGGAGAGAAATTTCCCGGTCCCGGGCAGCAACAGTATGGCCTGCTTTAATTTCGAATTCCAACTGTCAAGGGCCCTTGTACGTGTACATCAATGTGTACACGGGACGTCGGTTTTTTGTCCCATCCGAACGACTATAATTTCCCTTTGCAGGTCCCCCGTCCTACAATACTGCTTCTCGGCCGACACCGGGATTAACCAGGGACCCCTAAGTTAGCGAGTCTATGTCGTACACACTGAGGTACCGCGGCTTCCCGATTTCATTGAAATGTATGTGCTGATTTGTTTGCGTGAGATGTCAGCCTGTCTTCGTTGACATTGGATAATATATAATAGAATGCATATGAGTCGTTTACGAATAGATTGACCGATTTGCTTTAAGTTTTGCACATAGTGTTATTTATACTGTGTGGATGTGGCCTACTTTCAAAGAATCGCCAAATAAAATGACTTATTGACTATACAAAAATATAGAATTTAGCTATGTGTATAGAAGTGGTAGGAATTGATCTCTGTGACGACTTTCTTTGAATAATATCGCGCATGTGAGATCCTCGTATTCCGCCCTTGAATTAGACATTGTATTCGTATGTTCCAGTCCAATCGGACTACCAGTAACATAATGCACGGTAGCTGTTTATTATAGTGAGATATGTCCTGTGTCTTTAGACTGGGATAAAAACGTTATATTAATTATGCGCTGTGTCTTTAGACTGGGGTAAGAACGTTCTATGTGTCTTTAGACTGGGGTAAGAACTTCTCTGTGTCTTTAGACTGGGGTAAGAACGTTCTATGTGTCTTCAGACTGGGTAAGAACTTCTCTGTGTCTTTAGACTGGGATAAGAACGTTATATTAATTATGCGCTGTGTCTTTAGACTGGGGTAAGAACGTCCCCGGTGTCTTTAGATTAGGATAAGAACATTATGAATGTGTTGTGTCGTTAAACTGGGGTAAGCACGTTATCATTTATGTGCTGTGTTTCTAGACTGGGGTAAGGTCTTAGAGTGGGTAAGAACGCTATAGTATGCCCTGTGTCTTTAGACTGGGTGGGGTAAGAGCGTTATAATATGCTGGGGTAAGAGCGTTATAGTCTGCTGGGTGTCTAGATAATAGCGTTATAGTCTGTTGGGTGTCTGGGTAAGAGCGTTATAGTATGACGGGTGTCTGGGTAAGAGCGTTATAGTCTGCCTGGTGTCTGGGTAAGAGCGTTATATTCTATTGCGTGTCGTTAGACTGGGGTAAGTGTGATATAGTAAGTACAGGAGAACAACACAGCACATAAACAGGCACCAATAAGACAAACCGTGGACAAACAAGTCGGACTATGCAAATAATACACAACACAGTTGCTTTCAAATATATGAAGTCATGGATGCTGAGAACGGGGATTGTTTTGACTTTACATACCACTCGGCAAACCTCGGCAGATTCCGGTACCCTACATGTTTGCCGAGTGTTTACACACAATAATCATTTATTTTATTTACAGATGTATCGTCATGGTGATAGGGGTCCCGTTAAAATATTTAAAACAGACCCTAATCAAGCTGATAGTTGGTTTCAAGGAGAGGGCTACCTTACTGAGGTATGACTATATAAGTTCATTATATAAGATAAACATATTATTGTAATTACGCATGCGTGCTGAGGGTTTTATGTCATTTAGCAGGTGCCCGTGGCTGACAAATTTGAATTTGTCTTAATATTCAATTTAGCTTGTGTTACCGCCATCTCCAGATAGTGTATACCTTACATGTGTTCAGTATATCAACGGGGATTTGGGTTACCGAATGGCGTGCGCTTTAGATCATAAGGTATGTCATGGAGTCATTCTGTCAAACGTCGTTGGATAATCGGGGTTCCAGATGCTTCTTTTACCTTATATCGAATTTCAACTGCCAAAGGATCGTTTACGTGTACGCCAGTATATACTCAAGACCTCGATATTTGGTCCCATCCGAACAGCTAGAAATCTGTCCTTGTTCGGCCCTCCGTCCTGCACCACGAACTTTCTCGACTAACACTGGGAGCGAACCAGCAACTTCCAGACGAGCGATCCAGAATCTTACTTACTTAACCACTAGAAACGTCAACGCTGATTGATTAATCAATGTCTGACAGAGGTCAAAAGCAGTTCGTACGACCTTTGACCCGACCTTTTACTACAACCTGTTAAGATGTCCATGTACTGTAGGCCATTGAAAGTCTTAAAAAAAAACGAAACGAAATATAGATCTGTGTTTTAATCAGATTGGTGTAAAATAAAACCTCATATACATAATACTATAATGTACATGTTATATATGTTTATAGCTTGGCATGGAGCAACATTACATACTGGGAAAATATCTGAGAAACCGATATAACGGATTTTTAAACGAATCGTATCTTCTGTCCGAGGTAAGTCTATAAAATGTCTTTCACGGGATGTGTATATTCTTACAAACTTTCTATAATTTCCTGGGGATCACGTGTCTAAGTGGGTAAGACGCTAGCTCGCTAGCCTGAAGGTCGGGTGTTCGATCCCTGCATTGGCCGAGAAAGTTCATCCAGATTTTCCGGCGTGGTTCTCCCTTGTCAGTGATGCAGGACGGAGGGGCTGACAAGGAAAGCTGTCTAGTCGTTCGGATGGGACGAAAAACCGAGGTCCCGTGTACACATTGGCGTGCACGTAAAAGATCCCTTGGCAGTTGGAATTCGATATAAGAGTTGACCGTAGTGCCGCTGTCCGGGCAAAATTTCCCTCATAGCACACTGTATGGCGTATGCCCGTCTTCATTAGCCCAGGTTAGGAGCAGAACAGTAGGACGTTAAAGTCCATTTCATTTCATTTTCATTTCTATAATTTCCTTGAAAACAAAATGTATACTATATGTTCATGGTAAATTTACTATAAATACTATTAAGTAATTAAACAAGGTACAATTTTATGGATACACAATTACTGAGTTTAATACTAAGCGATGTTTTCGAGGAGGATACTCCTGTGTTTATCAAGCAAATGATAAAGACGAGATTGTCCTCGTCGAAACGTCGCTTAGTATTAAATTGTGTATCCATAAAAGTGTACCTTGTGTTAAAGTATATATATAATACATGTTATCCACTTTTGTGCAGAAAAGTAAGACGTTAAACCTAAACCTCATTTCATTCCTTGGGGGGGGGGGGGGGTAGATGGCTGAATGGTTAGCGTGTGCGCGCTGTATCATAAAGTCTGTCATTGAGTCAACTGGCATGGTTTCGATTCCCCGGTTGTACGTGACAAGGAGTAGGGTCGCCTGTCCAACCTCGTGGATTTTCTCTGGGTCCTCCGGTTTCCTCCCACGGCTAAATAAAATTGAACCATATGTTAGTACCGAAATGACCTAGTTTGTGTCGAGTGGACGTTAAACCCTATTCCTCTCTCTCTCCCACGTTTCGATACGATCAACACGATTGATACGACTGACCACAATATATGATAAGACGTGATATGATCACCACGATTACTCCACGATTAAATCCAAGATTTAAATCGCAGCACATATCGTGATAGTGGGAACCCAGCATTAGGTAATATATCAGTTCACCACGAATCGTCCAAAAAACAAAGTGGCGTTATTATCCAATAGAGGATGCATTTCCCCCAGCCGGAATAAAGGAAATTTTATATTTGTGTTACATCATTTGTTATATTAACTGTTGGAGCCTCGGTGCCTCAGCGAGTAAGACACTGGCTTGCTAACCTAGGGGTCACGTGTTCGATCCCTGAGGTGGGCGAGAAAAATCATCGGTGGTTCCTCCTTGTCTGTTGTGCAGGACAGAGGGCCTGGCAATGGACAGTGTATAGTCGTTCGATGAGACGAAAAACTTAGGTCCCGTGTATAGTGCCGATGTCCGGGCAAACTTTCCCTCATAGCACACAGTATTGCCGTCTTCATTGTTTCAGTTGGAGTGGAAAAGTAGGACTTTCAACCTCAATTCATTTCATTTTGTTTTGTTATTTGTATATTTTTCTACTGTGCAGTATCTGAAGCTCTAACCCGTGAAACCCGTCATCACTGCATCGCAGTTCTAGTTGTTTTTTGTTTGGGTTTTTTTTATTATATGTATTGTATATTCTACAGTTCAGTATCCGAAGTTCTAACATAGATAGATGTCTAATGTCGGCGTACTGCAACCTGGCTGGATTATACCCTCCCACGAGTCGTCAAGTATGGAATAAAAAGTTACTATGGCAACCGATACCTGTACACACTATACCTGAACCATTAGACAATGTAAGTTACTATGGAAAGCGTATGAATATTACTACATCCGCGTTTAGTTCTAAGATACTTTTTTTGCAGTCCTAAGTACCACTAATAATTAGAGTTTAATTAATATTAACATTCCTTACTTAGATGCTGGCTATAGACAAACCCTGTCCAAAATATGACCAACTTTACCAAAAGTCGCTAAGATCACCCGTAGTTATAAAGGAAGAGACGGAAAATAAGGTAAATATCGCCATTATCATCTTAATCGTTCTATCCCAACCCCCCTTAATCATCATCATCATCTGAATAAAACATAGATCCTAGTTCGTTTCATTTTTTATAGTTCAAAATTTCGTTTTATTTGTCTGTACTACACTAGGTTCTGGGAGAGTTGTTATATAACCTACGTTCTGGATGATGTGAGGGAGTAGCCAGAAACGGTCTGTTACGGCAAGTTTTTGGCGTGAGGTGCACGGAACTGTGGGTAACCCACTAGAAACATCAACGTTGATTGGATAATCAAATGCCTGACCCCTGACTCGATCTCCCAGTACAACTGGTTAGATCTTCGTGTAGGGTAGGCCATCGAAAATATGTATTAAAAAAAACGAAACGAAATATAGATCTGTATTTTAATCAAATTGCCCTATCAGTTGTTCAAGTCTAGACAACAACACCGACAACAACATTATCAACAGCAACATCAATCACCTATGGATAGCGGAATTTCGTAGCCTTTTATTTAGTCGATACCTGGCAATACTATCACAGTGAATTTGATGGTTCAATCTACCCAAAGATGTCACCTGTATTACAGAGCTGATCGGAATGATGCTCGGCCAGGTGTCATCGTTCACAGCCTGTTTTTGTATATCTATTTGTTACAACATTATTTCAAATTCGTTCAAGCAGTCCACGGCCATATTAGCGTGTTAGTTGAATGTAAACCGGGGCGATAGCAGAATATTAGAGCGTTTATGTGCCTGAATAGAATTCGAGCACGATATTAAAGTACAAAGTTATATATACTCTTCAAAAAAAGTATGGGATATTCAGAAACAATACAAAACTGCGGAAATGCACTGCTGTCATTATTAGAGGTAACCAGTGTATGTTAATAACAGGTCAATTACCTACACGTGAACATAAACAGTTCGTATTGGCGGCTTATCTGACGGCCCATTATCTGGACGTTTTTGATTTTTGTCATAATAATGAGTAATTGCTCCACCAATCCTCAGACATTCAGCAATTCGTCGTGGCATGCTCCTAATCAACCGTCCAATCACGATTTGGGGGAATCCGACCCACTCCTCTTGCAGTGCCACGGCCAATTCTTGCAGTGTTATCGGTTGACGTTGACGTCGACGAACACGTCTCCCGATCAAATTAAACGTAACACACTAAATCAAAGATACGCTAAACAGTAAATCCTATGCAAGAACAGATAGGAAAGCAAACATGGATAGATAAACCAGCAGTTTTTATCAACCCTTCGTTGAAGTGTCAAATTTGACAATGAACCCCTACCGCGTGTATGGTGCTATTGCGTGTCGCATGTGCACCTCAGTGGTTCTGTTGGGGCGATACATTCTTCATCTGTGAACATACTCTCAAAGCATGTCAAGTGTCTATAACTATTTATCATATCACAACCTGCATAGGTATTTGCATTTCAATATCCCTACTTTTTTTGAAGAGTATATGTGCGATGTTTGTTTTTTTTTAGGAATTCTACAAGTTTTTATCGGAGAAAAGTGGAGTACCCCATGAAACAATAGATAAAGTCTGGTCGATTGGTGATACCCTATACTGCGAGGTAAATGTGATATCAATTATTTTATAATTAGTAGTTATGCTAAGTCCCCACTGTCGTGCAGTGCGTTACGATAGGACTGTCCCAATTGCGTCCACGATGTACTACGTGTAGATCCGTTCGGATACGTTTCGATACGAACAACACGATTGGTAACGTAAATGTTACCAAACTGTGTAGGCATAGCCTTATAAAACTTAACTAAAGAGGTGGGGCACTTAATGAACAAAGTAGATTGGTACTCAGGTTGGCGAATATATCCAGTCGGTACATGATATCTCAGACGTCATCAATGCACTGAAGCTGTTATCTGACTGTTTTCTTTTATATGCAATAGTTTGTTCAGGATATCTGAAGGGATTTAGGAAACAGACATACCCTACTCTTTAAAGGCACATGTAACATACGTAGTATCGAAGGATCTCATGATAACGCTAACTGTGGATTTGACTTCTTTATTTTAACAATGCAGGAACACACATTAAAAGTTACGGGCTATACTATACACCGGAAAACACCGGAAAACTACCGGAAGACACCATGTTATACTGAATACCGGAAAACACCGTAAAAACACTAAATACCGGAAAACACACTAAATACCGGACCCCCCGCCCCCTAAATAGGTAACCCGGAGAAGGGCTATACTATAAACCGGAAACTAACCCTAACCCTAACCCAGGCACACAGAGGACCAGGCTTCCGGTTACCTATTTAGGGTGCCAGTCTCCGGGTTACCTATTTAGGGTATTTTCCGGTATTTAGTGTTTTTCCGGTGTTTTCCGGTATATAGTATTGCCGAAAAGTTACTACATCTATAATTCTAACAACCAAAACAGCACAAGGGAACATAGCAGATGATAACAGATTGTAGTCATTACGGCCATCATCCTTCCGGTGTTCGCTTCCGGTGTAGGATGGAGGGTCTGACATGACACGGACAGCTGTCTAGACTTTGGGATTGGACGAAACCGAGATCATATTGGCGTGCACGTAAAAGACCCCTTGACCGTTAGAATTCTGTATCAAAGCAGATCGTAGCGCCAATGTCCTGGCCAAATTTCCCTCATAGCACACTTTATGGCGTATGCCCGTCTTCATTAGCCCAGTCGGTGCAGAAAAGTAGGACGTTAAACCCCATTTCATTTCATTTCATTTATTCTCCTGACAGAAAGTGGGGGTTGGATGGCTGAATGGTTAGCACGTGCGCGCTGTGTCATACGGTCTGTCATTGAGTCAACTGGCGGGGTTTCGATTCCCCAGTTGTACGTGACAAGGAGTATGGTCGCCTGTCCAACCTCGTGGGTTTTCTCGGGGTCCCCCGGTTTCCTCCCACTGCTAAAGACCCTACGCGCAAGCGAATTATTGAAATAAAATTGAACAATGTGTTAGTCCCGAAATGACCTAGTTTGTGTCGAGTGGACGTTAAACCCCATTTTTCTCTCTCTCTCTTGACAGAAAGTGCACAACATGACCTGGCCTTTATGGGTAAATGACACAGTTTACAACAAACTACGAGACCTTGAGACATGGGGATTTGATCTTCTCTATAAAGGTTCGGTAGAAAGTCGACTGAAAGGGGGTAAGTTTCTCTTATTATAAATAGATCAATGGCTTTCTGCGTACTATCCCAGATAATCAGGTACAGGATACAAAGTCTACTTCGTTATAGGGTTATCTCTAACGTCTTCATAATCCCGGTCTGTACCTGGGAGCCACGGTGGCTAGGTGGTTAAGACGCTGGCTCGCTAGCCTGGAGGTCGGGTGTTCGATCCCTGCATTGGCCGAGAAAGTTCATCTGGATTTTCCGACGTGGTTTCCCCTTGTCAGTGGTGCAGAACGAGGGCCTGACAAGGACAGCTGTCTAGTCCTTCGGATGAGACGAAAAACCGAGGTCCCGTGTATACATTGGAATGCACGTAAAAGATCCCTTGGCAGTTGGAATTCGATATAAGAGTAGGCGATAATGCCGCTGCCCGGGCAAAATTTCCCTCATAGCACACTGTATGGCGTTTGCCCATCTTCATTAGCCCAGTATAGGAGCAAAACAGTAGGATGTTAAACCCCATTTCATTTCATTTCCGCGCTGTGCCCAACAGAAGAGTTCTATGCAATGTCTTCATAGTCCCGGTCTGTGAAGAACAGTAAGACGTTAATCTCCATCTTTAGCCTTCACCTTCCCGGTTGGTTCAGAACAGAGAGAAGTTTAAGCTCATTCCATTCGGACTACTCCATAAATGCAATCCGCAGTATTGTCAACTACGTCGACCTTCCTTTTATAATATTATGACACGTAAATGTTTTACAAAATGGTGTATATACTCTTAAAAAAAGTAAGGGATATTCAGAAACAATACAAAACTGCGGAAATGCACTGGTGTTTTTATTAGAGGTAACCAATGTATGTTAATAACATGCCAATTGACTGCACATGAACATCAACAGTTCATATGCATGGGCGGCTTATCTGACGGTCCCATTTCACTCGCAAAGAGATACACCGTCAAATGTGAAAATGAACGTTTTTGATTTTTGTCTTAATAGTGAGTAATTGCTCCACCAATCCTCAGACATTCAGCAATTCGTCGTGGCATATATAATTTATGAAATAATTATATAATTTATGAAATAATTATACAATTTATGAAATAATTATATAATTTATGAAATAATTATATAATCTGTTAACTAATTTCAGGACCTGTACTAAAAGATATGATCGAGAATATGAAACAGAAGATTGCCGGTAAAAGTACCAAGAAAATGATGGTTTACGTTGCTGTAAGTTTTTGGTGTTTTTTTTAAATACCCAAACTCCTTTTATTTATATTCCATTAAACAAAACTAAACTATTTAGATGTAGGTCGCCATGACTTGATGACCAGAATTATTGGCCCGATGTGTAATTTTAATCAGTGATGAGGCAATCTCTTTCCGAATAAATGTCATTTTAAAGAATTGGATGGGTGGTAGTTGGTTTGCTTACTAAATGGCAAGGGGCAACGGATAATCGTTTGGATTGGACGAATATCCCAGATCCCGTGAACACATTGGCGTGCATGTAAAAGAACCCTTGACAGTTGGAATTCGATCAAAATAAGTGCACACGTAATGACAGAAATAGCCATTCTATTCCTGTTGTACAATTAGCTCTAGCACGTAAGGTTTACTGGTCAGTCGAATTGTTCGCGTCGTATAGGATTTTTTCATTCTTATTTTTCGTTTTAAAGACACATCATGTGGTGTGTTATAGCTTAATCTGCCCACTGCAGGTTTTTTATTTAAACATCTATTAACATACCAAGATCAACTCTCTCGATAACTCGAAGGGCCTGACAGCTGTCTAGTCGTTCGGATAGGACGAAAACCGAGGTCCCGTGTACACATTGGCGTGCACGTAAAAGATCCCTTGACAGGTGGAATTCGATATAAGAGTAGGCCGTAGTGCCGCTGTCCGGGCAAAATTCCCCTCATACCACACTGTTTGGCGTATGCCTGTCTTCATTAGCCCAGTTCGGAGCAGTTAAACCCCATTTCATTTCTTCGCATAGAATAAAGTAATTTGAATGAAATTTTCAATATATTCATTTTGCATGAATTATTTTTGATCTATCTATTATAGCAAGAATGACTAGCTCTTTATCTAAACCTTACATGATGTATCTTTAATGTCGTCGTTCATAATACTTATCGCGTGCAATGACTATTTAGTTGCGATTATCAAGCTGTTATGGAACTATTTTTGTAGATCCGACGTATCCTGATGCTTTATTTGCGATTTGATTGATGACATCAGTAGGAAACGTAGTCTATGTTAACCAGTCGTAATGTGACACAACATAATCCAGTTATATCATGACATGTGGTCAATGTCAGTAGTCTCGATCTCATATTAGAAATGAAATGAATTTAGGTTTAACATCCTACTGTTATGCACCAAGTGGGCTAATGAAGACGGACATACGCGATTCAGTGTGCTATGAGGGATATTTTGCCCGGGCAGCGGCACTATGGTTTACTCTTATATCGAATTCCAACTGCCATGGTATCTTTACGTGCACGCCAATCGATACAAGGGTCCCCGGTTTTTGTCCTTTCCGAACCACTAAATAGCTGTTCTTGTTAGGCCTTCCGCCTTACACCACTGGCAAGGGAAAACCACGCCGAAAAATCCCGATGCTAGCCAGCCAGCCAGCCAGCGTCTTACCCACTTAGCCACCGTGGCTCCGATCTTCTATTAGAATAAACATTTCCTTTTATATATATTCCTATAATTACAGTCGTAATTCAATTTTTAAGCGGATATCATACATTCGTTACAGTTATCCCATGATGTTTCCATTAAGATTTAGATATGGATGGCCTTAGCGTGATGGCTCCCACTCCAAGGCAGGTCACTATCAACAAATTTACGATGAAGGAAAAGTTCGACGAGTTGTCGTTTAATTTTATAAAAGTTTGAAATGAAATGAGAGAGAGAGAGAGAAATGGAGTTTAACGTCCACTCGACACAAACTAGGTCATTTCGGGACTAACATATGGTTTAATTTTATTTCAATAATTCGCTTGCGCGTAGGGATCTTTAGCAGTGGGAGGAAACCAGAGGACCCAGAGAAAACCCACGAGGTTGGACAGGCGACCCTACTCCTTGTCACGTACAACCGGGGATTCGAAACCACGTCAGTTGACTCAATGACAGGTCTTATGATACAGCGGGCACGTGCTAACCATTCGGCCATCCACCCCCACCCCCCCGAAAGGAAATGAAATTGGGTTCAACGTCCTACTTTGATGCTGCTACCGGGCTAATAAAGACGGGCATAAGCCATGTACTGTGTTATAGAGGACATTTTGCCCGGGCAGCAATCGGGGAGAGAGAGAGAGAGAGAGAGAGAGAGAGAGAGAGGGGGGGGGGGTACGTGAGACGGCCACGGTCATCCATTTCAGAGGAGGTATTCGATTTACCAGTGACATCAAATTAAAGTTTATTTAAAGTTTGAAATTTGAAATTATCGCTGTTAACTTTGTTAAAATTAGAATGAAAAGTTTATATCATCTGTTTTTATATATTAAACATGTCTTCCATTTCCACAGTTCTGAGTAAATAAACCAATGAACTGAGTCTTGTGGGTATACAATCACGGAGTTCGCCCCGCCCATTACCACGCATCTGCGCGCCACTGTTTAGGAAACCATCGCCATTTATTTGTGAACGGAAAATACAGGTTTAAGTTTTGGCAATCTGAGTAAAATACAGATCTCGTTTCGTTTTTTTATACTTTCGATGGCCTGCACTACGTGAAGATCTGACCGGTTGTAGTAAAAGGTTGCGTCAGAGGTCGTACGAACGTCTTTGGACCGTATGATGTCAGACATTGATTAATCAATCAGCGTTGACGTTTCTAGTGGTTTACCCACAGTTCCGTGCATCGCACACCAAAAAGTCGCCATAACAGATGGTTTCATTGGCTAATCCCACATGCTATCCAGAACATAGGTTGTATAACAACTCTTCCAGATCCTAGTGTAGTACAGACAAATAAAACGAAATTTTGAACCATAAAAAATGAAACGAACTAGGATCTGTGTATTAATCCGATTGAAGTTTTAGCTTTATTGCATGAAGGGGGGTTGGGTGGCCAAATGGTTAGCACGTGTGCGCTGTATCATAAGGCCTGTCATTGAGTCAACTGGCGTGTTTTCGAATCCCCGGTTGTACGTGACAAGGAGTAGGGTCGCCTGGCCAAACTCGTGGGTTTTCTTCGGGTAATCCGGTTTCCTCCCACTACTAAAGACCCCTACGCGCAAGCGAATTATTGAAATAAAAAAATTAAACCCTATGTTAGTCCCAAAATTACATGATTTGTGTATACTGTACCGTTTGTTCAACGACCGTACTCGCACCAAACATCTGTTTAAGAAATAATATTAAGACCTGACGTTAAACCCCATCTCTCTCTCTCTCTCTCTCTCTCTTTTATTGCATGAAATATCCAATTTCTTCCGTTGATCTTACAGCATGATACAACTATTACGGCTTTACTTACCGCCATGGGAGTGTTCAATCAGCAGGCTCCACAATACACCGCAACGGTCATGATGGATTTACACCAAGAGAATAAACAGTATTATGTACAGCTTTACTATAAAAATGACACGTGGCCGGAACCAGAAAACGTCATGACACTAACTTTACCAGGTAATCTTTATGTAGATATATTCGTGACATTCGAGTTTATTACGACACTAACATTTATTATACATGCCCAATCTTGACAAACCAGTCTATGGTGAATCTAACTTTGCCCGATAATCTTTATATAAATCCATTCGTGACAATGGAGTCTAACACTAACATTATATGTAGATATATTCGTGACATTTGAGTCTATTACAGTCTATTGAGTCTATATTCTTCATGAATACCCAATCTTGACAATCCAGTCTATGGCGAATCTAACATTGCCCGATAATCTTTATATAAATCCATTCTTGACAATCCAGTCTAACACTTTATGAAGTTATATTCGTGACATTTGAGTCTATTACAACACTAACAGTCTTCATGAATACTAAATCTTGACAATCCAGTCTATGGCGAATCTAACATTGCCTGATATTCTTTATATAGATCCATTCTTGACAATCGAGTCGTAACACTAACACTTACAAACATCCAATCTTGATAACCCAGATCTCAGTGACACTAACTTTAAATAAATCCATTCGTGACAATCGAGTCAATAATGATACAACATTACCTCCTATTTCGTACACATTCGCCACCACTCGGACGCTAGAATAACCAGCGGAGAAGGTGCTGGCACACTCACGCAGAGGTACCAAAATTTTACCGCGTCGTGTACCCCCTTGTCAGCGGTGCAAGACAGAGGGCATGGCCAGGAACATGGTATAGTCATTCGGATGAGACGTAAACGACAGGGTCATTGTGTTTGTGTTGTTCTTGTTTAACGTCCGCTTCCATCGAACTGATATTGCAGACAAGCTATCTTATTTTTGTTATCTTAGCGCATGCGTAGAGGTCTTTCCTGTGGAAGAAAATTGGAGTACCCGGATTAAACCCACGAGATTGAGAAGGCGTCCCTATCTCCAAGCTGCATTCGCTCACACTAGTGATCGAAACCACGACCGGAAGCCAGAGTTGACCGGCCTCCCGTTTTATTATGATATGTTATTTTTATATCAGGGTGTGACGAGAAATGTCCCTATAACAAGTTTATTGAATTGACCAAAGACAAAATACCTGGTGACTGGGATGAGGAGTGTCAGATGGCGCCAGCAGGGTCAACATCTAGTTACGGTATTATCAAACTTAACACAGGTGAGCAGAATAATATAATGGCCCAATCTAATTTAACATCGGATCTTTATTTCGATCCAACTTTTAGAATTTTGGGGTGTGTGTGAGTGTGTGTGTGTGTGTGGGGGGGGGGGTCTACTATTCATAATATCTATTTACTTCTTTCCAATTTGATCCACTGTGATTGGATATTTTCATAGGAAAATAGGGTCAAGGACGATCATCGGACCACAAACTTCATCAAGATGTACTTAGATCGTACTCCGGTGTAAATCTGCTCCATACAAAAGGAGGTTGGTTGACCGAATGGTTAGCGTGTGCGCGCTGCATCATAAGGTCTGTCATTGAGTCAACTGGCGTGGTTTCGATTTCCCGGTTGTACGTGACAAGGAGTAGGGTCGCATGTCCAACCTCGTGGGTTTTCTCCAGGTCTTCCGGTTTCCACGGCTAAGAACACTGCGCGCAAGCAAATTATTGAAGAAAAATTTAACCATATGTTAGTCCCGAAATGACCTAGTTTGTGTATACTGTAACGTTTGTTCAACGACCGTACTCGCACCAAAGATCTATTTACGAAATAATATTAATAGTATTCGTCAGATTATTTATTTGTCTTTATTTTTCCAGTGTGGATGATGATGATGCTTGCTCTGGCAGTCGGTATGTTAATTTTATTTGTAAATATTTGTAAATGTTTCATTTATATTCAGGGGGGTTGGATGGCTGAATGGTTAGCGTGCGCGCGCTGTATCATAAAGTCTGTCATTGGTTTCGAATCCCCGGTTGTACGTGACAAGGAGTAGGGTCGCCTGTCCAACCTCGTGGGTTTTCTCCGGGTCCTCCGGTTTCCTCCCACTGCTAAAGACCCCTACGCGCAAGCGAATTATTGAAATAAAATTAAACCATATGTTAGTCCCGAAATGACCTAGATTGTGTCGAGTGGACGTTAAACCCCATTTCTCTCTCTCTCTCTCTCTCTCTCTCTCTCTCTCTCTCTCTCATATATATTTGAATTTTCTTTTAATATTTGAATAAATGATTTAGTCTAACAGTTGTGTGAGAGAGAGAAATGGGTTTTAACGTCCACTCGACACAAACTAGGTCATTTCGGGATCAACATATGCTTCAATTTTATTTCAATAATTCGCTTGCTTTTAGGGTCTTTAGCAGTGGGGGGACCAGAGGACCCGGAGAAAACCCACGAGGCCGGACAGGTGACCCTACTCCTTGTCACGTATCGAAACGAAACCACGCCAGTTGACTCAATTACAGACCTTATGATACAGCGCGCACACGCTAACCATTCGGTCATCATTTCATTCTCCTTTATAGGGAGTATAAGGATTACAATTCATAAAATTTATAATTGTAGGTATAAGATGGATGTAGAACTATTCGATATCACCGAAGAACAGGACACAGAATAAACAGGGATTATGTTACATGAATATATTAAATCTATTAAAGATACAGTATATAAAAGCTATATCTGCCTATTGAAGGTCTTTCTTTAGGCCTTAAATGTTATATAAATTAATACATGGATAATCGATGCTTTGTTTACTATCGTAACAACGGTAGCAATGATAATCGAGACCTCACTGGTTACCATAACGTCGCTCAGAATGAAGAATTTTGACTACAATTTTCAAGATGTCCCCTTTTCATTGTGTAGGTTTTAAACTATTATCGCGAGAACTTTCAGCTCTTTATCTAAATCTTAAATAATGTAACTGTAATTGAAGATTTTTACCTTAGGTCAATCTAGCCGTTAAAGATTGTTACTTTATGTCAATCTAGCCGTTAAATAATTTTACCTTATGTCATCTAGCCGTTAAATAATTTTACTTTATGTCAATCTAGCCGTTAAATAATTTTACCTTATGTCAATCTAGCCGTTAAATAATTTTACTTTATGTCAATCTAGCCGTTAAATAATTTTACCTTATGTCAATCTAGCCGTTAAATAATTTTACCTTATGTCATCTAGCCGTTAAATAATTTTACCTTATTTCAATCTAGCCGTTAAATAATTTTACCTTATGTCAATCTAGCCGTTGTAATTTATCTTGCGAGTAACACCTTCTTCTGTTTTGTTTTTGACTTTATTTGTTTTTTGTTTGTGTTGAATTGTTCGTTGGGTTTTTTTTTTTTTTTTTTTTTGGGGGGGGGGGGTGTTGTTTTGTTTGTTGGATTGTATATGTTGTTGTTTTGTTGTATTATTGGGTTTGTTTCGTTTTATATTTTTTATTCATGAGTGTGGGCGTGGGGTTCTTATGTTAGTTCTCTATATGGGTTATGATGATTTAATACAAGTTGGTGTATCAATAGTACTAATGTGTTACGCCCAGTTTTAGTTATGTGTAAACTTCAAAGGGGTCACCGATCATTGTCAATTCGTTTTAATTTGGGGGTTTGGTACTCCACTGACATTTGTCTCCTCTTCAATCAATTTGTCGTTATTGGTATATCGGGTCATGTTTGACAGATACATCACGTGACTTATTAATCGACTGCGATTGGTTTCTCGTCTGTGATATCACTATGTATGATAGTAATGGCGAGTCATACCGTTTAAGAAAACCTTTGAATACGGACCCTGAGAGAGACTAACAGACAGACAGACAGACAGAGAGTTTAAAATGACGAGATCTCTTTGGTTTGGATCCATATTTATTTCAATTATGTGTCCGCGGATAAATCCGATTTCACACCAATAACAGTCAGCCTAAACAACAATGGTCCTGACCTTTAAGTTTTTTAAATAAATCTTTCATATCAGCAATATGTAGTTCATTGTTTATTTTCTATAAAACAAGAAATAATAAAAAAATCTGTTTAAACTTGTAGCTAAGATAAGAACTTGTAATTTGTTGTTTGAATTTGTAATTTAACCACTGCTGTGACAAAATACTACTTGCCCTGCTCATAATAATAAACATGAAATGAAATAAAATGGGTTTAACGTCCAACTGTTCTGCTCCAAACTGGAATAATGAAGACGGGCATACGCCATACAGTGTGCTATGAGGGAAATGTTGCTCGGACAGTGGCGCTACGGCCTACTCTTATATCGAATTCCAACTGCCAAGGGATCTTTTACGTGCACGCCAATGTGTACACGGGATCTCGGTTTTGTTGTCCCATCGGAATGACTAGACAGCTGTCCTTGTCAGGCCCTCCGTCCTGCTCCAATAATAAACATAGTCTGTGTGACTTCGACAAGACAAGAATGTTGTGCATCAGGCACAATATGTTTGCGAAATTGATATAGCTAAGAAATTAAAGATCCCTTAGCAGTTTCAATTCAAATGAGAAGATCTCATTTGTTAGGGTGGCATCTATATCAATTCCGGGCGGAACGAAACAACATCAATTTCGAGCGGACAAAACAACATATCAATTCCGACTGGGACGTAACAACATATCGGTGGCGAAGGTAAAGGATACATTGGCAGTTGCAATTCAAAGGAGATGCAAATTGTTCTTAGTATAAATAAAACAATACTGCATTTTATGTTCTAAAGTGGAGCCAAGCATATTACTTGTCGGTTGTTCATAGGTCTGGGGAAGGAAAGACGCCCAGTCCTTCGGGTCAGACGAATATCTGTATGCAGATAGACTATCAGATCCAGTTGGAATTCAAATGAGGAGACGCTCACTCTCAATGTTACAAGACCGCTAGTGCACTTTCTGGTTTAAACGAAATCTTGGCATTTGTAATTCGATTATGAATAGATAGAAACGTTAAACTCCATCTTATTACCTGTATACTTGACAAAATTATTCTTCTTGAAAAAAAAGTCGGAGGCTTCGCCAATTCGAATACGATGGACAAAACTTATCAGCAGTGAATATTCGTTAGGCCGCGACAATCACTGATAAGGATGGCATTGATGCGACTTAATGAGCCACAAATATTAACTTTTTTCCTCTGACAAATAAAATTCTAAATCATGTTTTTTTATGTATTAGAAAAAATAAATAAAGCAGTTTAAAGTATTTGTAGGTAATAATTTATTTCCTATTTTAGTGTAAATGGGTATTAAAATGAGTAAAAGTCTCCATTCTGCTCGAATCAGTAACGTCCTATGTAAACAATGCACGCGCCAATGATTGACGCCGCTTGATATGACGTCACGTGTTGAAGGCAGTTATTTTTTACAGAGATATTAGAAGACTTGGTATGTCTGTTCATTTGACAATTGCATTACAATTCCAAAATGGTTTAGATGACGACCGATCATGGTCAGTTCCTTCTTCATACCTTTCGCTCGTAATCTCCTTAGGGATTCCCTTCTATTAAGTTTTTATTTACAAAAGGATAGCCACGCAAAGCGACAGCAGTTTATATGATATGAATATCTGGAAGTTCGATCAAATTTCATAAGGATTCTTTATGCCCTTCAAAAGGGTTTTCGGGATATAGGGGAGGGGGCTAACTTAGGAATTGAAGGTCGCAGAGAGCTGAACAGTTAGAATGCTCGTCCTCTCATAACCCAGTGTCTCACAACACATTCGAAATAAATCTATTAAAAGCTCTAGTCTCTGTCATGTTCACAACGTTTTAGAAAAGGGGATGTAACTCTGAAACGCTGAATATCAATAGAGTTTGTCCTGTCATGAGCACAAGATCTTTCATTTTTAAATGGCTTGACAGTGCACTTTAAAAATATAAATCAATATAAACCACGTGTTATATATACATAGTTATTTGTTGATATCATTACACTGACAATACTATATTAAGTCATTTGTTTATAATTTTATCTAACATATTTTATCTAGTTACTAGAACGTGTAAATAGTAAAACATGATTGACATATTATTATACATCACCAGGGGGCGGTGTTATCTTTATTTAAAGTAACGTCCAGAGTACACTCGCCACAAAGTAGACTTTTTCGTTCGGGGCAGCAATTGTCTTCATCAGTATTCCT